AGGCATTTTCGGGATGTGAATATTGTGGAATTGAAGGGGGAGGGGGGCGAAACCTAACATACGTTCGACCCTCGCCACTTACATGTACGTCGATTTGCATCAGGCAAAGTGGCCTTTTTAGAGTACGTGAAATTATATGGAAATGTTAATTGTATTGTAAAGAATCGCACGAGGCGTACATTACAAAATCTAGAAACGCCTAGAACTGATTTGTAAAAACAGTAAATAGAGAAGCCTGGTGACCAAACCTATAGGCTATACTGCCGACTCTCTTTCCAGCCTAGCGAATGGAGTCATTTTACCCATTGTTCGTAGTCGTAGAAGTAATAAATGATATGATATCAAATGTTTTAAGAGAGCTCGGTGGTGTGAGTGATTGATTGTAAGATCTCAAATTATGGTTTTGGAACAACATAGAACTAGAAGCAAATTTATTCAAATGCGAGAAAGACAACACGTCAGAATTATGTTGGATTACGTTGTAATGCATTAGGTTAAAATTATAAAGCTTGGTAAAGTTAGAATTTTTTAAAGCTTGTTTTCTATAAATTCTATTTTATCATTGACAGCTTATGATTTCTTCATTTTTTTTCGTTAGGCTGAACATGGCAGCAACAGGACACGGGTCTCCCATTGGAGTTGGTCAGAACTGCTGTGATGGGTCTCCCACCGGGGTTTCTCAGTTCGACTGTGACAGCAAAACAAGCAATGCTGAAGACCAGGCAGCAGCACAAGTCATCTTGAATGACGCTGGTGAGAAACCCTACATGTGTGGGGAGTGTGGGTACAGAGCGGCTTACAAGTCTGACTTATCCCGACACATGAGAACCCATACAGGAGTAAAACCCTACAAGTGTGACCAGTGTGACTATTCTGCTGCACAGAAAGCTCATTTGGACAATCATCTAGCAAAACACACCGGTCAAAAACCCTACATGTGTGGGGAGTGTGGATACAGGACAGGCCATAAGACACACTTATCCCGACACATGAGAACCCATACAGGAGAAAAACCCTACAAGTGTGACCAGTGTGACTATTCTGCTGCACAGAAAGCTAATTTGGACAGACATCTAGAAATACATGCTGGTGCGAAACCCTACATGTGTGGGGAATGTGGGTACAGGGCAACTGTTAAGACTACCTTATCCAGACATATGAGAACTCATACAGGAGAAAAACCCTACAAGTGTGACCAGTGTGACTATTCTGCAGCTCAGAAATCAGACTTGGACAAACATATGGTAAAACACAGCGGCGAGAAACGCTACATGTGTGGGGAGTGTGGGTACAGGGCAGCTAAAACATCCCACCTTACCCAGCATATGAGAATCCATACAGGAGAAAAACCCTACAAGTGTGACCAGTGTGACTATTCTGCAGCACGGAAATTTCATTTAGACCAACATCTAGCAAAACACACTGGTGAGAAACCCTACATGTGTGAGGAGTGTGGGTACAGGACAACTCAAAAGTCTAACTTATCCCAACATATGAGAACCCATACAGGAGAAAAACCCTACAAGTGTGACCAGTGTGACTATTCTGCAGCACAGAAAGACACCTTAGATAATCATAAAGCAACACACACCGGTGAGAAACCCTACATGTGTGGGGAGTGTGGGTACAGGGCAACTCAGAGGTCTGCCTTATCCCGACATATGAGAACCCATACGGTAGAAAAACCCTACAAGTGTGACCAGTGTAGCTATTCTGCAGCCTCTAATGCTATCCTATCTCGACATATAAAAATCCACACAGAGGCACCAAGTCTGCAACTGTGACCATCTCGTAATGACATTTAGTGCGCACAGTCTGCTGTTAACTACAGTTTTTTTTCTACTTAATATTTTGATACGAATCCTAAGGGTATATAACAGTATAGGACAGATATGTTTATTAAGATTTAGGCTGAATTTTCTGTAAGAATTCATGATGTTTGCAAGTAGGCAAAGGTTTTTCCAAAGAAAAAGGCCTTTCCCAAGAAAAAGTCCTATACTTGTTCACTTTAATATCTAATTAAGTTATGACTATAATTTAGGTACAAGAATAAGTCTTAGTTTCGCTTAGTAGCCCATATACTTTGTTGTAATATCAGATATCAAAATTTATTTTAGCTACCTAGAATTGTAGAGTGAGAATAGTACGCGTTATAGTATTGATTGGATAATATACATTATGTGTGCAAGTAGGCAATTAGTAGGCACTTTAATATGTAATTCAGTTATGGCTATAATTTAGGTACAAGAATAAGTCTTAGTTTCGGTTTGTTGTAATATGATATATCAAAATCTATTTTAGCTACCTAGAATTGTAGAGTGAGAATAGTAAGTGTTATAGTATTGATTGGATAATGTACATATACATAATCAGTAATTAACATCGGTAAGTGATTGTACACAGTAGTTGAAGCTGAAAGGTAGACATTAGTGCTATGTTTGTACACAGTAGTTGGAATGTAGACGTTAGTGTTGTGTGTCTACGAGCTTAGATTTCCTGTGTATCTACTAGTAGTTCCTGTCACGAAGTGTTTGCCTACGTCAACTCTTTAAACTACTAGGATTTGTATAAATAAACCCAAAAGCTAATAGTATTCATTTGTATCAGTGTAAAATGACTGATGTGCTTCAGTTTCCAAAGTAGGAAGTTATTTTACGCCAGTGAAAAGGTAGACGATAGGTTGTATACAAGTAAATTTCCTGTTTTGTATTTTTTTTCTAGATCTACAGCCTCAGATATTTTGCACTGACATAATTAAATCGTGTAATGCCTTGATCATAAAGTTTCCTTCTGTGTTGCTTTTTTCCTTCTGTTTCCTTTTTTCCTTGGATGGATTATTGTCATTAAACACAGAAATCAAGATTCAGACCAAACAGTTTGGCTTGACATCTATTCCCTTAAATTATCTCTTTAAAAGAAGATTAGAAACAAAAGTCGAACGCTTGATACGTTGTGAGATGGTCGGTTTGAACGCAGAACGTTGACATTATGAACAAAGCTTAACGTGCTACCTGACATCATATGTACTACATGGGTAATCAGGCATAGAATAATACCTTTGACCCAGTTGGCGTTCACCTCTGACCCCGCGAGACGAAGGAAGGACAAAGCTGTCCGAGTTCCGGTTTACGTGAAGAGAAAAACCATCATAGGAAGCAGGTAAGGCTTAGAAACGGGCAGAAAAGTATTCTGATGTTGATTGAAATAGTTTAAAGTCACTCTATGTAGTTTTTTGACAATACAAAAAGTATATTTCTTATTCTTTTCTTTACATAGTACATTGGCTTAACCCATTAGTATTCCAAAATTATACTCCACAGCAAAAAATACAACATCCTTGCTCCTTAGAAGCTTAGAAAACTGTGAATGATCTTCTATTCAACCTCTGGCCAAACCACACATATGGTATTGTCCACTCCCAGTGGTTTGACCTACATCCCAGTGGGGTGTCAGTTGATAGCTTACCAGTTTCTGAAATACCTAATCGTTTACCAGATTTTTTATCTCTTTTGAGGGGATAATGACCACAGTTTATTCATGCCCAACAAAATACTCTAAGTTGATAATTATATTCCACCTCATGTGAAAGATATGAGTTTTTTCTAAGGAGGGTATATCTTGTGACATCTGCCCCTGTCTATCAAGCCTGGCATGCCCGGGCCAATTAGCCACCCTAGGGGGCAACCCCTGTCTGTTGTTGTTGTTGTCCTCAGAGCAAACCGGTGGCACCGGGAACTGAAGAAGGACTGTTTGAACGGACAAAATATACGAAAAAAATGTGAAATAATGACACAAATGTGTTGAAAAGTGATAGTAACTGCTAATAACACCGAAATTTAGTATAATTAGAATATTTCAATTTTTTGCGCAAAAAACTACATAGAGTGCCTTTAAGACCATTTCTGTGGGAGAAGAACCGCAGTAGGATGATAATTTGTAGACATTTTCAGGATGTGAATATTGTTGAATTAAAGGGGGAGGGGGGCGAAACCAAACATACCTCGTGCGACCCTCGCCACTTACATATACGTCGATTTGCATAGAGTACGTGAAATTATATAGAAATGTTAATTTTATTGTAAAGAATCGCACAAGGCGTACATTACAAAATCTAGAAACGCCTAGAACTGATTTGTAAAAACAGTAAATAGAGAAGCCTGGTGACCAAACCTATAGGCTATACTGCCGACTCTCTTTCCAGCCTAGCGAATGGAGTCATTTTACCCATTTGTTCGTAGTCGTAGAAGTAATAAATAATGTGACATATGTTTTAAGAGATTGTGGTGTGAGTGAGTGATTGTAAGATCTTACAAATTATGTTTGGAACAAAATACAAGCAAATTTATTCAAATGCGAGAAAGACAACACGTCAGAATTATGTTGGGTTACGTTGTAATGCATTAGGTTAAAATTGTAAAGGTTGGTGAAGTTAGAATTCTTTGAAGCTTCACGGTGGTCTGTCACTACCGCATTCTTTCCCATTGCCGGGGGCGTTCGATAAAGTATCGGGTTACAAGACGCTATTTTTGGCTAACCGTAAAACATTTGAAAATAAACAAACTAGTATCGAAGGGAAAATTTTATTGAAATAAAATAAAATTATCGTCTTTACATACATTTGATGGTGATTTTTTGCGCTAAATGGATGATTTTTTCGGATTTCGTTAAAAAAGTCGATAATTTTCGGGATTTCGGAGCGCCATATTTCAGCCAATCACCGAGCAAACCTGGCTACACATATTACGCAAGATCACTGATTTTTATATTTTTCGACGACTAGGAATAAGATGAAAAATCGTGTTTTAGGGATTTTTTAATTTCTGACTTTAAGTATAGTTTTTGTCGACAAATAGGTGAAAAAATCGATTTTTTTTGCTTTTTTCGCACTCAATTACCCATAATTCAAAATCAAACGCATTTTTCAAAAATCCCTAAAACACGATTGTCGGGAAAGCCGTTACAGTCATTTTGAGCCGTCAATGAGGTAGGTTGGACTCTCCATGCGTCCAGGTTTGCCCGAGTTTTGCAGGCATGTCGCGCCGTATTTTACGCGGAGGTGGTTCTAAACTCCGAATCGAACGTTCCACGCACAGATCATGTTGCGCTCTGCATAGAGGAAACGTTATTTGCAGTATTATTTTACCGACTCTGTTCTGAATTACTGCGTAAGAACAAGGACATTCTAGAATGTTCTTGGTGCAACATAATAATTAATCCGGTCATCAGACTCTCGCCAAGTGGTATTTTCCTCTGTCTCAGATTCCTTAGGCCAAGTTAGGGGATACGCAGCCCGGGCGCTAAGTTGAGCCGGGGCGGCGGCACATGTTACTCTCCAAGCAGAGGTTTGGGTTATTTTTGGCGTGTTTTTAGGCTTTTTTTATCGGGGTTTCTCTTTTGCACTGGATTTTTTTTCAGTACAAAAGAGAAACTCCGATAAAAAAGC